CCAACTCGTTGTAGCAGGTACAAAGAACACTCAACGATAGATAATCATCCATCCTTGGCATTGTGTTTTATTTTTTTTCCCCCTAACCATTTCATCCATTTGCAGCAATGGGCTGGCCAAACCTCTAGCATACATTAGTTACAATATTACTTGTTTTAAAGATAAAAATAAAATAGTTAAAAGGTGTCATTTTCAGAAGAGAGGTAGATACTAGGGATGCAAGCAATTAATTGACTATCCGATAAGCATTCGCTTATCGGATAGTCGACCAGTAACTCGACTAGTCGCTTCCCCCACCATTGCCATCTCTATCAGAGAGAGGGAGCAAAGAGGGGGGAGCAGGAGCTGGTGAGAACTGGCTCAACACCATCTCCATGGGAGCAGGGGAAGCAGAGGCTTAGTGGGGACCAGGCACGAGCCAGGATTCAGCTGATTCTCAGTGCGCCCCCAGTCCCCCTGCTGTGCTTGTTCTTTTTAACTGTATTAAAAGCCTTACATTTAAAGGCTAACACACAGCGGAAGGGACAGGACAAGAGCTGGGAATCAGCTGTCCCGGCTTGCGCCTGGTCCCTCCCCTTGCTGCACTTCAGTCTTTTAAATGTATCAAGCCTCTCAGCTTTTAATACACTTAAAAGGCAAAGCTGCAGCGGGGGTAGCTCCCTTGGCCAAGAACAAACCCCACTGCGGCTCCACAGTTTCCCCCACTTATTGACTAATCAATGGAAATTCCATCAACTAGTTGATTCAACGCAGTTTAACATCCCTAGTAGATACTCAAATATAAGCATAGCAAAAAAGAAATTAACTAAGTCTGTCATTAGTTTGTTTACAAAGGTGCTTTTTCTTTATTTTACGTTTGCAACCTTATTGGTCATATCAGGTATATGAACCATTATCATAACCTGCATTGAGAAAGTTTTAAATGGGCATGGGAAAGGGTAGTTAATTGATTTCCATTATAGCTTTGTCATAAGGAACATTACTTCAAAAATTGGTTACATATTTAATGTTTATTGTCACTGCCAGGTTCTGAGATTAGTTTTTCTATTGTGAAACCACGTAATACTTCCACAGAAGATGGAGCAGAGAGTTTACAGATAAAAATTAAGGTAGTCAGGAAGAGATGGAGGAGTTAAGTAAAGATATTACAGATGCACTTTAGGGATTCATCTTAATGAGTGACGCTTTTCAGTTTTGGTGAACCAATAGGGGCTGGAGCAGTCCCCTGCCAACCACAGGCAGGGGGCTGCTCCAGCCCTCCATAGACAGGGACTGTTCCAACTGGCCTGTCAGAGCAGCCCATCTATGGCAGGCCCAGCCTGGGCAGCAAGCCACAGGCAGAGGCTACTCCAGCTGGCTGGCCAGCAGGAGCAGCCCTTGTCCATGGCAGCGGGGGCTGCTCCAGCATGGCCATGGAGGGCAGGGACACTGCTGCAGCCCAGCTGGGCTGGAGCAGCTTCTCCACCCACTTCCCCTCTAATCAGTTAACCAATTAAACATAATATTTAACCGGTTAAACAATTAAACTGAATTTTACATCCCTAATTTACACTAGATAAAATAATGAACTTAAATTCTGTACACTGAAAGCAAAAAGCAGAATATAATCTTTTAAATGGATTCCTAACATAAGTTGTCTAAGAAACAATTAGGGATTTTTTTTAAAAAGTCTCTAAGAACAGTTAAAGCTTTTACTCTTGCATAAGATTTATGTAAGATGCATGTTTATTAAGTTAAATTTTCAAGGAAGATTTCAGAAATACACACTATTTTACTCAGAAGTACTCAAGACAGAGTGAAATGGAGGAAACCTATCAATGACCCATGCTCCACTTGGAGTACAAGGGTTTAAGATGACTCAAATACCTCCTATTACACAAAGTAAACAGCGACAGCAGTCTTTCAAGGTTTTTAACTGAATTAATATGTTCTCAATAGGCTGAAATTACCCATATTATTCCAATTAAAATATGTGTTTATTCAATAGCTAATTCAATAGTGTGATTAACGTTTCATTTTCTGCAAGTTTATTCCAAGAGCCATGAACATTAAGTGTGGTAGTAAACTTATTTCTTAGGAATGTAAATTACAGGCAGTCCCCGACTTACGCGGATCCGACTTATGTCGGATCCGCACTTACGAACGGGGCTTTTCTCGCCCCGGAGCTCACGGGCGGCGGGTCGCCGCCCGGTGTCCTCCGGGAGAAGCTTTTCTCGCCCCGGTCTCCCTGGTCTGCTGGGGGAGTCCAGCAAAGCCGCTGGACCCCCCCAGCAGACCAGGGAGACCGGGGCGAGAAAAGCTTCTCCCGGTCTCCCTGGTCTGCTGGGGGAGTCCAGCAAAGCCGCTGGACCCCCCCAGCAGACCAGGGAGACCGGGGCGAGAAAAGCTTCTCCCGGTCTCCCTGGTCTGCTGGGGGAGTCCAGCAAAGCCGCTGGACCCCCCCAGCAGACCAGGGAGACCGGGGCGAGAAAAGCTTCTCCCGGTCTCCCTGGTCTGCTGGGGGAGTCCAGCAAAGCCGCTGGACCCCCCCAGCAGACCAGGGAGACCGGGGCGAGAAAAGCTTCTCCCGGAGGACACCGGGCGGCGACCCGCCGCCCGTGAGCTCCGGGGCGAGAAAAGCCCCGTTCGTAAGTGCGGATCCGACATAAGTCGGATCCGCGTAAGTCGGGGACTGCCTGTAGTTAATATTTCCTATATACAAGCTTGTTAGGATACAGAAAGCATCTGAAATCCTGAGTGTAAGTTGCACAGTTTTATGTTAAAAGTTATTCTTGAAAGCAAGTGTGCACACTGGTTATTAATCCAGGAAAGGTTAGGGAACAAATGTAACAACAAATATGCACTAAAGGATTCTCCAGTTTAATGCTCTAGATTTCTGTGGCAATGTAATCCTTTAAATGTCATCTTCCAGACTACTCAAAGACTACTCAAAATGTGAAATCTTACTTTGCTGCAATATGAAGCAAGCTCCTCTTCACACGTCCAAATGCATAATTCACATCAAATTTTGAATTGGACAGTAGCTCTGAAACAGACCTTAAATAAATAAAACAGTGAGTTGGCAGAAAAAGTCTAGAGACAGTTTTACCCACTTTCAGATATGCATCGCAATATACCTTTTATGTAAATAATTGAATACTTGATCTGTTTACAACTATTTCAATTTACCATTTTTCCCTTACAGTATATTAACAGCTCTGTTAAAATATCCGAATAATAACCTGCAATGCCCTTGTTCTTCCACTACCTAATTCAAACCGGCATTAACAAAATGTGTCAAATTATGTGGTTATTTTTGAATGTACATTAAATGTTGACTACGACAAGATGTTCAAACCTGTTTCTTTACTGTGACAAGTACTATACTGTCCTTGATTTGAGTAACTATAAATAAAGTTTATTTATACCAATACTTCTCCCCTAATCAACTACACGTGCCCTGTCACAAGTTTGACATGTAAAATGTACAACCTTATAAACCTGGATGGATCACAGCATTAACAAAATACACATTTAAAATTAGGCTCAGTTGAAACAACGTAGTGACTTCCAGTTTCGTTTGTGATGCATAGGAGGCTACATAATTGAAACTAGCATATGAGTCAACATAAACCAGGGATGGGCAATAATTTTTGACAGGGGAGAGGGGGCCCACTCCAAGATTTTAGCAATTTTCAGAAGGCTGCACTTTTCCATTATATTAATGGAAGAAGTGCAGGATCTGGGATGGAGGCTGGGTACAAAAGGGAGTTTGGGGTAAGGGATTGAGGTGCAGGAGGGAGAGTGGGAGGGAGTTTGGGTGAAGGAGGCAGTTGTGACTTAGGGCAGGGGTGGATGGAACACAGGCTTTTGGAATGAGACCTGGGAAAGGGAACTGGGGTGCAAGAGTTTCGGCTGTAACCTAGAGTAGGAGGGAATTGTGATCTGGGGCAGGGAATTGGGGTGCCAGATCTGGGAGAAGGTATGGGTGCAGGGGGGGGGGGGGGAAGGAGTTTGGGCTGGTGCCAGAATCAGGCTCTGGCTAAGAGACTTACCAGCCAGCTCCCCAACCAGCCTGCCTGCCTGAACTAAATGCTTGCAGAGCTTAAAGTTTCTCAGCCAGCCTGCGCAGGCTGCACAGCCATGTGCTTGTGTGAATAACTGAGCCTGAGGGGAGGGGAGCATGGTGCTTCGTGTGCTGCCTGTTATTTGAACAGGCAGCTCCCATTGGCCAGTTTCTGGCCAGAAGCCAATCAATAGGATTGTGCTGGGGGCAAGGGTTATGCCTGAAGCCTACCTCCCCTCCCTGCTCACAGTTTTTAAAGAGAAATGATCCCACAGCTGCTTTTCTGAGCAGCATGCAGGGAAAGAAGGGGAGCCTGCCTGGGGCTCCCTGCTGCATCCGCGGGTCGGATACGGTGGCTCGGAGGGCCAGATCCAGTCTGCAGGTCAGGTCTGGGCAAAATATGGCAAGCCTATTGTGGAGAAGGACCAACATCTATGCTTCTTACTTGCCTACAAAAATTAAACAGAAACCGGGAAGTAGCAGCAAACTAGCTTTACGCATTCCTCAGAGTCCAACAGATGCCGCCCTTCCAAAATAGCTGTCAAGATAAGACAGTATGAGTTTCAATACCAACAGTACATAAACTCCTAGTGCAATATTTATTCACAAAGAAATTGCCATTGCTCTGTTCGCCCAGTACTCATTATATATGGTCTTTCTCCTCTCTCCTGACCCACTTCAAAGCCCTAGTCTCACACATAGGCATTTCCAGTATTGAGTCAACCAGAATTCTCAGTCTCAGAGGGGTAGCCATGTTAATCTGTATCTCAAAAACAATGAGGAGTCCTATGATAATGTAGACATGAACAAATTTCTTAGGACATAAGATTTCGTAGGTAAAACTCCCTTCATTACATTAATTGGAGTAGAGTTTACAGAGGCATGGGTATATACAAGAACAAAAGAAAAAGAGTAGTTGTGTAAATGAGGCTAATCAAGTCAGGATGGTACACAAGTAGCCTCTTTTGTTGTCCTTGTATATACACCCATGTCTCTCTAAACTCCAAGGTGCCACAGGATTCCTTAGATACATAAATTCTCAGATACATAAAGCATATACACAGTCATAAGGAATATAAGAATGATCATAGTTTGGGGTCAGACCAAAGGTTCATCTAGCCCAGTATTCTGTCTTCTGACAGTGGTCAATGCCAGGTGCCTTAGAGAGAATGAACAGAGCAGGTAATCATCAAGTGATCCAAGCCCTGTCGCCTCTGTCAATTTGCAGGCTTGAGCATTCAGTGGACTGAGATCCATCTATGCAAGATCTCTCTCATAGGCAGGTCGACACTAAAAAACTTGCATCAGCACAGCTACACCAATGCAAGTGTATTTCTGTACTGCTTCTGGAGTAAGGATGTTAAGAGGCAGGTAACTGACTAATCATGTAATTGATACAATTTGTATCAACTACACAATTAGTCAATAAGGGTTGGCACTCTGTCCCATCACTTACTACATTTAAAATGCAGAGCCAGTGCGGGGGTAGCTCCCAGACCCGGCGCAAGCTGGGACTGAGCCAGGCTTGCTCAGTCCCAGCTCACACCAGGTCCAAGAGCCCCTCTCCACAGGGCTGCTGTTAGAGTAGCTTGTGTACATAGCCAGCCTGGGCTGTCACAGACAGGAGCTGCTGCCACGAAGCAGCACCTGTCCACAGGGGTCCCAGATCCACCCTGGGACCCCCATGGCCAGTGGCTGCTCCAGGGCTGCTATCGGCAAGCTTGGGGCCGCCATGGGAAGAGGCTGCTTTACAGCACCCTCCCCTGCTCTGCCCCCCCGCCATGCTGATGCCTCTGATAGAAGCAACAGCATGGTAGGGGAGATGGCTCCACGGAGACAGTGTTGGGACAGAACTGGCTTTTAAGCTGCCCCCTCATCCAGCACCAGCTCCTGCTTCCCTCCCTGCTGCTTCGGATATAGAGGCAGCAAGGGAGAGAATGCGATTAGTCAAGTAGTTGACTCGACTAGTTGCTTACATCCCTATTCGGGAGAAAATTTTCTGAGCCAAAACACCTCCGCAAGAGGCAGTATCTGTGTCAGCCAAGGACAATATAATCACATTGACCAGGAACCTGAAAAATCCATACCACTGAACAGCGTAGTTATACCAAAGAAAGTATGTGGAATAGACCTAGATACTGAGACTCAATATGGCAGCTCAGCAACAGAAATCCTGTAATGATCAACACTACTGTAACAAAGACAGCTCTACTAAAATATGCTGCTTTCCGTGCACTTAAAAGTATTGTAGACTTACTATGGAGGTTAATTACTGTTACTACCATTTACACAGATGTTACACAGACTAATTAGTTGCAACCTTAAAAATAAGGTAATTTAAAAAGTAGTAATTTACATACAAAGCTATAGGAGAAAATACTCACCTGTGCTGGTCAGCCATAACCATTGGCATTAGTGTGTAAACAGCAGTTTCATTATCTGTGTAGAAATCAGATAACTCTGTTACTATAAAATTGTATGTACAAGTTTATCCAATAGTTTGTTTTTAGAAATTACTGTAGGTGACTGAACTATTTGCTCTGTGTGATGATTGCACTGAAATAAATTTCTCAACAATTCTAAAGGAAAAGCTACATCTCAAAAGATTATTTTAGGCTCTAGTAATGACTTTACTGCAGGTGAAAGCAAACTGATTTTTCTATAAAAAACATATATTGCTATTTTTAATTTTTTGTCTATCCTTTTATCCTTTAGATTGCTATTAAATTTTCATACTGAATTGCCTCAGTATCAAGTTAATTTAAAAGTGAAGGAAGTCTCAGATTTTCCATATATGCATATTATTTCCATAGTTGCACTGCTGATGTTATTAAACATCTTATTATATATTTTAGAAATGTGCCAGCCTGTCCATCCATCCATAGACAAAGTCATAGAAAAGGTGGTTTAGGGTTTGTTTGGTGACATTTTGGGGAAAACTAGTCCTTAAGAAGTAGTAGTAAACAAAGTCCTATTTATCAAAGAATAGGTACAGCACAAAGAAAGAAAGAAATCTGCTATTTATCTAGCTAAATTGCAGCAAGGGATGTTTATTTTAATTACCCGGCAGCACTTAAATGAAGATTTGAGGAAAAAACACAGAAAAGGGTTTAAAAAAAAAAAATCACCAAAATTGTAACTTGCTTAATTTGAAACAAGAGTGGTAGTGATGACAGGACCCTTTTGTTAGAACAGTAGTTATTTTCAGGAATAGGTAGTAGTTTAATTCTGAAAATCCAGTAATGGGAGGCTCTAAAATGATGTAATGTATCCTTTCCCATTTAGCTACATCATCACAGGTCAGCTGAAGAATCCCAAAGGGATGAATAAGGATGATGCAATTGGGAGACAGGCCTGCATCATTTCTGGTATTGCATCACTTCCAGAGGGGATTGATTCAGCAAAATCCTAGATACACACTGGAAGCCCAATTTATTCTGATGGGCTACAAACAGAAAGTACCTAGGAGTTACCCACAGGTCAGCTGGAGACATTTTAGAGATACACTGTAGCCCATAGGAATACAAGGGACCTAAGAAGGAGGATTAGAAGAGGAGCTATTAGTCACATGTAAATACCTGTGACAAGGCAAGACTTGGCACAGCAGCTGCAAAAGAAGCTGAACTCTGATTGACTGAGCCTGGCTGACCAAATCATATGTAAGGGTAACAGTCAGCAGGATAAACCTTGTAGGGGATTGGGGACCTTAAAGAGAGAAGCAGCTGCAGGACACTTAGAATACGTCTAAACTACATGGCTCCGTCGACGAAGCCATGTAGATTTGTTGTTTTGGCAAAGGCAAATGAAGCCGCGATTTAAATGATCGCGGCTTCATTTAAATTTACATGGCTGCTGCGCTGAGCCGACAAACAGCTGATTAGCTGTTTGTCCGCTCAGCGCGCTAGTCTGGACGCTTCCCTGCCAACATCAAAGCCCTTTGTCGGCAGCCCCAGTAAACCTCATCCCACGAGGAATAACGGGGCTGCCGACAAAGGGCTTTGATGTCGGCAGGGG